CATTTCTTTATGATGAACATATTGATCATGCTTTTCATTTAGAAGAAGTTTAGTCAGACACTATGTTTATATGAGAATATCTTATTATATAAGGTTTTATAATCGTGATCTGGCACCACGAAACAAGACATGTAAAAACAAGTTAGCTCGCATTATCCATGCTTAATTTTATTTTAATGATAATTCTTGAAACAATATATTTCTTATTTATTATTGTTGTTTTTTCTCTCAGCATTATTAACTATATATTTAGCATCTAATTAAGGGGTATATATTTAAACTAATATGGAGTATTTATTTAAAATAATATGAAACGAATACAGTGATAACATGATTAAAATGACTTATGCAAAACATGCTAAATTTCCATCAAATTTACAACTGCGTCATTAATGTTAACATATTAATGTTAGATGATATATAAATGTTATATAAGCAATGTTATGAAATAGTTTTAAAATTATTTTAATTTATAAAAGAAAAGTTTTTTAATGGGAAGCCCTCTGGTAAGAATAATGCAAAGGTATAAATATTTCACTAAGAGTTGCGTTGTTTATGATTACTTGGTCCCGCAAGACATCCCACAATGCTTTGCGGATAAAATTACATATATTTATCGGGAGTTGGCAGGCATTGGTTTTAAGCAAAAAGAAAACAAGACGTCAGTTAAAAAATAAAGTTTTAACTTTATTTATGAATGAATGACTTGCAACGCTATTTTTTATTTTATAAAGAAAGTAATTGTTCTCAATGGACTGAATCATTTACTTCATTTTGTGTACTTTCTTATTTTCTTCGTTTCGTAGTATTTCTACAAGTCTTGCGTAACTCTCTAAATCTAAGCTTATTAATAACAATTTGGGAAATTTAAAAAAATTGGGAATTCCGCGTTATACGCGGTGCCATCAGGCTGGCTAACACCCTGCAGTACTGTAACAGTACTGTTACACGCCAGTTAAGTGGTGTACTGCAGTACACCACTTAACTGGCGTGGACAACAATCTTGCTCTTAACAAAGCCAAGTAACATTATAGCAAAGTACATTACTTGGCTAGCAAAATCAACACTTTTGCTATAAACTAAGCCAAGTCACAACAATTTGGAAATATATTTACAAACACATAAATGATATTTACATTCTTACAAAATATAAACCCATATAACCTAAACACATAAACATAAATAACACATAAGTATAAATTAATCTATATAAAAATATATAAATCAAGAAAAATATATAATTTAGAAACTTTACAATCAATCAATCAATCAATCAATTATATATTCTGGAAAGAAGATCTAACTTCCACGGTCGTTAAAAATAGTTATAAAAACTAACATAAAGTAAAAACCTCTTTAATGACATAAAACATATTATAGACACATAGTTATAGTTATAATAAAAATAGCAATATAATAACAAAACAACAATAAATAAAGTAATTAATTGTATAATAATAATAATAACAATAATAATAGTACCAGTAAGTATAATTAACACCCCATAATAATAAATAAAATAAAAATATGATAATAATAAATACAATACATATATAACGGAATTGTTAAATAAATATTTAATAGAAGGCTGTTCATTAAATAGGTCAACAAAAATTATAAAAACCAGTAACTAAATGAATTACATCAATACAATCTTCCATACAACAATCAATTATATATACATAGTTACAGTTACAAACAGTAATAAACTGACAAAACGTAACTAATAACGATGACATAAAAACGATTATCGATAAAAGAATACACTCGATAATTATAACAATTTTAGTTTTTATAATATAATAACAAAAATATATTGTAAGTATAATAAACAAATAAAGAAAATATAAACAGAAAAACACTTATTATACATTAAACTAAGGTTAATAAAAGTAAAAAATGCATTAAATGCATACACAAAAATACATGACATATAAATATAACAATAAAAATACACATCAATATAAAAAAAGTATTCACTAAACAAAATTTTAAAGTTTTTTCCTGTTCTTTTCTTTTAATGATATTATTGTTTCTGGTAGACTAACATAATTCATTTCGTATTTTTTTTTTTTTTTTACAAATACAACCTTATTTTTGTTTAATGACATACCTCGTGTAATAAATGTTTATCAACTTAGAAAAACAAACGATCTGGTTTTTTATATAAAAGCAAACAGATTTTTTTTTAACTTCTTTAAATGTAAGGTGTTTAACATTGTTCTTTCTTGTTCTTTTTAACATGTAACTGTGTGATATGCAAGATATATATATATATATATATATATATATATATATATATATATATATATATATATATATATATATATATATATATATATATATATATATATATATATATATATATATATATATATATAATATAATATATATATATATATATATATATATATATATAAATGTATATACATATATATATATGTATATATATATATATATATATATATATATATATATATATTATATATATATATATATATATACATATATATATATATATATATATATATATATATATATATATATATATATATATATATATATATATATATATATATATATATATTATATATATATATATATATATATATATATATATATATATATATATATATATATATATATATATATATAACACTAACTTTATCAAGAGTTTGACCTCTTGAAAAGAACATCGTCTTTTAGAGTCACCATCGTCTTTTAATTAAAAAATTAAAATTATTACTAACTAAGTTGATGAAGCAAAGATTTTGATCTTATTACTGATTAAACAGATATTAACAAATTCAGAAATACCTCATCGCATAGTCAAAAGTAGAAATATCTAAAAGGCCAAGCATGCTCATAAAACTCCGTGTAAAAATGCGCACGAATGGAGAGCATTTATCGGAAGCGTTAAGTTATTAATATTTATAGATAGATTACAATAAATGTATAGTTACAAAATAACAATCTTTCAAATAAAAATTTTAATCTTACAAATAACAATTTCTTACAAATAATTTGAGTCTTTCAGGTATCTTTCTTTTTTATTCATTGAATTTGACAAATCCATATATTAATATGTTTACTAACCTTACACTAAAACTTACTTAATGTAAAGTTCACCAAACCTACTCTTTATGATTCTAATTTAAATTTAGCTGTTTCGTTTTTGAATCTCAATGTTGATAAATATTAGCCTTTGATTTGCAAAGATTTCAATAGCTGTATGCTTGGCCAGTGCATTTACTTTTGTATCAGTTTACATATTTGTTGTGAAAGTTTGCATCCACTGACTTTTCTTTTATTTTCTTTCAATGAGCACTGCTTTTGTTTATTTGTTTTCTCTTCGGCAGTAAAGCTCAAAACCCTTGTCTTTCTAAATTGCCCAGCCTGTGTGACTCCAAAAAAAGTTTCCAAATCACTTACCTTTACTGCTTGATTTATACATTGTCTTTGAGCCTAGTTTAGTTTGACTAAATTGATGCAAAAGGTTTCTTTTTCCTTTTTTCTTTTTCTTTTTGTAGGACAACAAAAGATTTCTATTGAAAATAAATGCTTTTTTATCATTGCAAAAAATTGATGCAAAAGGGTAATTTCTTACACCAAGCTCCCAGAGGTGTTCACTGGATTTTGAGATGTTTATGTTTTGACACTTACAGGCATTGTGCAAACTCCAAACTTTTGTATGCTCGTGCTTATGTCAAATGAGAATGTTTTGCAAAGAATTGTGGTGATTGGAGTGGTGATTGGAGCACAAAAAAATTGGAGAACAAAAATACGCTAATTTTTGCTCCCACCCAGTCCTTAATGTGGGAGCAACGAGTTTATAAAATATTTTTTTCTATTGTTTATTATTTTTTAAATTTATTATGTTTTTATCTATTATTATATTATTTTTTTTAAAATTGATATTCATCTTCAAGTTTCAAATTTCATGCAACAATCTCTTATTTCGTGAAAATTATGACCATATAAAGTTTTAAAACACTTCAATTTGAGTTGGCTGTAAAGTTTGCATGTTCATAAAAGCTAAACACTAAGAGATTGTTGCATGAAATTTGTTGATGAATACAAATTTAGATGAAATACTAAAGAAAATATTTTATAAACTTGTTGCTATCAACGTTAAGGGATAGGTAAGCCCAAAAATTGTGTTTTTTTTTTTTTTCCTCCAGGCTCCAATCACTGGAATTCTTTGCAAAACATTCTCATTTGACATAAGCATGAACATACAAAAGTTTAGAGTTTGCACAACGCGTGCAAGTGTCTAGTTTAAAACTCAAACATCTAAAAATCCAGTGTACACCTCTGAGCTCCATACTCTTTGATTGCTCAATTTTTTATTATATCTGATAATTTTTATTTTATCTGATATTTTAAAGACTTATGGTAAATCTTTTATTGTGTCAGAGACAATATATTTTATATATTTTCATTTTTCAATTGTTTTGTTTTTAAATTAACTCAACTAGATGCAAGCAGCCATTATTTAAGTTAGAAGTTGCATCAAGAAAACAGAGAGGAGAGTTAAAAAGCAAGAAAATGGCTGACAGACGACTTGAAAAATTATCATGATCTCCGAGTCAAGAAAACATAAAGATAAATGAGAAATTTAAAGTTGTTCCAAAACAAAACCTAGATGCATCGAGTTTTTTATTTGAGCATAAAGGAACAGTTACAGTAAAAGAATGCTTATTGAACAATGAATGTGTTTTGGATGGTGGATTATAGTTCACTTACGCAATGACCATAGTAGTATTGATAGAAAGAAAAAAAAAAAAGCACTACAATCTTGGAGTAGAAGCAGTAGAGTAGAAGCTCAAGCTTGGAGGATAAATTAGAACCTAGATTAGAAACATTTATAATTAGTTTTGAATAAATTTATATAAATGATAACATTTTTAATAATTATAGTTTAGTAAATTATAAAAAAGGATTCTTTATATTTATGCAATGTTTATATTATTTCATAGACTTTTATGGAATTATTTTAGATGTAAATGAGTGTATTGAAAACGTTACATCATGTTCCAATGGAGGTTGTATAACAGTAGACGAGAAACTTCGATGTCCAGGTAAAATAGAACGTACTTTTGCTCAAAATAATTTTAGTTGTGTTAGTGAAATGTGAAATTCATACATTTAGTTAATTTTAAATAAATAAAAATTAGAGTATATAAAAAATCATTTTGTAATGCATGGTTTGGGTTCTTCCATAAAGTATGTACGCACGTATGGGGGGAAGGTTCAACCCAAAAACATACAAATGCGTTCAAGGTGGAGGAGGTTATCTCTTGTCAAGTATGTAAGCTGTTTGACTCTCTCTACTGTCCTCTATTTCTCCTTAAAGTTGATATAAATCTTTTCGAAATTTAATGTTTAAAAAAGTTTTTGGTTGGCGATGATTTTGTAAGGAGTAAAGTGTATGTACACAGAAAAGGGGGGTTCGTTGAAAACATATTGTTGCATACAAGGCTAGGGTGTTCTGAAATAGTGGTTTTACTGCGTACATACTTTATGGGTGCCCCCTTTTATAAAAAGGATTGCATGAAGAAATATAATAATTTTTAATGCCAATGCTTTTACACGTGTGTGGATTGGTTGGTTTGCAATTATACCATTTTCTTATAAAAATATGACCTATTGTAAGCGTAAGAGGAATTTTTTTGCAATAAAGTATTTTTCTACTTTTAGTAAAGACGAATAATAAAGTCTTTCTTGTTTTTTGTTTCTACTAAAGTTGAAGTAACACGTTTTGATAAAAAGCAAAGGTTGTGATGGCCTTTTTAAACTCATTATTCTGAATAATTTTTTATTAGCTAAAGTTTTTTGTGCATATACTATAAAAGCATTAGTAGTAGTAGCATAAGCATTTATATTAGAAATACCATAAATAACATAAACCCCCTTATAATTAGCAATTTATTATACAATAAGTCTATATATATACGTATATATATTTGATACTACAGTGTACTTAGTGGCAAGTAACTCAATCCCGTTGACAAAGGGTGCTGTCATTGCTAATATACCAATACTAGAAAAAGAATACATAGTTTCGTTTGATGTTTATCTTGCGTCTTTTACTACTGACGTTCGTATTGTTGTTTATTTTACCATTGGTTTAAATCGTTCGAATAATGATATGATTCCAGCTCTCTTACTTTATCCAAATGGAAATATGGCTATCCCAGCTCCTGCTAATGGAAATTTTTTTACCTACCCAACTCCAATTGCATTAAATACATGGACAAATGTTAGAATAAGTCAAGTTCTGATTGGTACACAATATGTATATACAATCAGAATAATTAATCAAGCTGTTTCTGTTGAATTTAACAACCAAGCTCAAAGTTTTTATAATGTCACAGTATATGCTTCAGATCCTTGGTATGAAGCTCAGGATGGTTTTTATAAGAAACTTGTTCTTTATCAATGGAAGGGCTAG